GTGTCTTCTGTCCGGCATGAGGCTGGTTCCTGCCCCGTACATTAGAGACTGGCACGTCCCCTGCTGAATTCTGCTTTAATACCCGGTCTCTGCTTGGAGCCCGTCAAAGGCCCTTTGCACACCTCATCCCTGGGCAGCTGCAGTTCCTCCCGTTTGCTGTCATCTGGGAATTTAATGGATAGGCTGCTTTACTTTTTTTCCTTGCAGGCTGTGGGTAAGACACACACACACGTTAAGTAAGACAGACACGTCTCCCCAGCAGCACACGGCTTAATGTTACGGTGGTGCCAGTAATGTGCTGTAGGTCGCTTCACCTGGGTCTCTCAAAGCATAGGAAAATGCACACTCCGCTAATGGGCAGTGTTTGGTTCTGGGATTTTGAGACAGAGATTTCATAAACTCCTTCACGGAGGTTTAAGGTGAAGAGGGATGTTTCTCTGTCGTTTCTCTGTCATTTCTCTGCAAGATCGGGCAATGAAAACATTGGGGGAGGGAAGCTCAGGAGAACCAGAGACCAGAGAGTAGGAATTTCCGTACTGGTATTAACACAGGTTTCTTGTGAAGTTAGACACGACTCTACTGCTGCCCCAAGACAAAAGTGGGAGGACAGTGAAAGGACACTGTTAGGAGACCCAGGGTGAGAGACATCCCCAAGAAGCTGGCTGCTGTGTCATGCACACAGCATGGGAAACCTGGGGACTCTAAATCACAAATGGCCTTTTGAAGCCCGTAGCCAGGAGCACTAAAGCCCTTTCCACTATATGGAAGTTAAGCCACATTTCCAATTGCTCAAGAGCTGCTGCTGCCCATGCGGCAGCGATGAGGGGAGCACCCAGCCCCTGTGCAGAGCAGACCTCAGCTTCACAGCAGGCAGCCGGTACCCAGCTGGTGTTGTTCAGTGCTGTGTCCATCCCAGAACATCCTGGTTCTGCCACGCGCTGCCCGGATGGGCACGTAGAGCGCCCTGTGGGTGCTCAGATCATCCACAGCCTCACAGGTTTCAGGTTTGCTGAACAAGCGAATGATTAACCACTAATGAACTTTCTTCCTGCTTGCATTAGTGTTTTCAGAAAATTTAAGGTCTGGATACAGTTTCCTGTTGGGTTAAAATAAATTTAAATTGAGGAAGCCCGACAGCATCGGGGCATGAGTAGTGAAAAAAAGTATGTGTTATTTCTTTACAGTTTTTCTTGGTTTGGGCTTTCTGTCTGTGGATGAACTATTGAAGATGCCATCTTTACCATAGGAAAATAGTAATGTGCTTGTTTCTTTCTCTCCCTCCTCTGTAGGCCTACGGACATGAGGTGGTTAAGAGTAGATGATGAGATGCCTCAACACGTTGTAGTGTCTGGTTCAAACCTTCTCATTAGTAACCTAAACAAAACAGATAATGGTACATACCGCTGTGAGGCTTCCAACGCGGTGGGGAAATCACATGCGGATTACATGCTGTTTGTATACGGTACGTGAGAAAACCACCGTTCTTCTAGACTCATTTCCACATAATTGCAACATACCTGCTCTGAAAGCTTTGACAAAGTTAACTTTTGGCTTAATGCAAGATTTACAGACGGCTCCTGACACACCTGCGTTGTACCGGGCTGGGGCCGGGGCTGGCAAACCCTTCCTTTGCTTCTGTAACTCTCGGGTCGGGAGCAGAGCCTATTCCAGTGTCCAGTGCGCTCCTTCCTCTGGAGCCGGGCTCGCCATGGCACTTGGTGCTTCCAGGGAAGCCAAAGGAAAATCCAGAGCAGGGGCATGGGGAGAACTGGGAAGTTCTCTGGCCTGACAGTTCCCCTAGGACTTCTCTGATAACTCCTTTTCCTTTTGTAATGCCTTCTCCTGTGTCTTCAGCAGTGGTCTGGGAGGGGAGGTGGTGTCCAGGGCTTTCATTAGGAAGTTGAATTGCCGAAGGCTCAGCCAGAGTCCCCAGATAATTACAAACCAGTAAATAAACTGGAAGAATGAGATGCCCTAAGCCTGTGTGTGGCGGCCGAGCAGACACTAAACCGTGCCTCGGCATCTCTTTAAAGTGCTGTTAAGTACCTGCTTTAATTCTTCAGTCCTTCTGCATTATTTTGCCGTTGCTTTAGACCTTGTGCTCCTGTCACCAGGCGCTGCATATAATGAAGATTCAGTAGCACTTGGAGAGTGATCCCCCTGTTTAATTGTGAGCAATTCCCTTGGGCTGCATATTTAAACTTTATTGGTTAAGAGTGGTGGTTGTGTGCCTGGGCTAAGCTCGCGGTGGGTGTTGCACTTGAGGTCTTTTCCAACCCAAACGGTTGTATGGTTCTACTCAGATGGGACAGGAACTTGCTTTGGTTTGAAGTTCAGGCCATGTAATAGCAGCTTGAAGCTCTTCGGTCCAAATTCTGTTGTTCTTGCTCCAATCTAGATAAATAGTCAAGGACCTCACGTTGCCTGTCTAAACGCCACTTGTATGTGAGTGATTTTTAAGCCCAGTCCTAGAAACTCGCTTAAAGGCTGAAGGTAGCACCAAAGCTACAGCTTTGGGCTGAAACTGAACTCATCTGCCACCTCACACGAGTAGTGTCTGTAGGTCCAGTTCACAAAATGAAGTCGCATATGCATTTATGATGGAATAATTTGTGTGCTCATGGTATTAAAAAATACCTTGTTTACATCGGTGTTTAAAGAAACACTAATGTTGCAGAGAATAAAGAAGTTGGAGTAGGACACGGGCAGTTCCGCAGGAGATGGAAACCAGGGAGAGCTACTGCTGTAAAGCTGTTGGAGACGAGGTGCTTTCATTCCTCGTAGAGTTTATGTACCTTTTTCAGCCCAGGCGAGTGCTGGATGAACCCTCTCCAGTATTAGTGACCTGGGATTTAGGGCTCACAGAAACAGTCACACTGTTAATTCTGTGTTTCAGATGTGGGTGAGAACTAGACTGTACAGGACTCGCGCAGTGCGGCTCCCTCCAGATTAAATCCATGGGAGGAGACCTGGGACAGTGTTGTTTTAAAGGATGTGCAGGGCCCCAGGGATATGAACCTGCGGACTGTATTTGGGGTGTTTTGGCCACGTAGGGGAGCGCTTTTTGGGTTCGGTTTGGCAGTGGGAGCATTTCCATCTCCAGCCCTCGGCTCCTTCCCCACTACAATGCCATATTGCAGCAGCACTGGGGTCTGTGTCCTCCCAGACACACCTCCGTAGGTATAGTGTGGATGTTGGGGGGGATGTACCTCACTCCCCATCTGGCAGGGCTGGTTCTTGCCAGCACAGAGCTCCCCACATCCCGTTAACTTGGGAACCAGGGGGACAATGGGCACAGTCCCTCCGCACCCAGGGGCTGTACAGGGGTAGCAATAGCCACAGCAGAGCTGTGCTCCAGCATGTCTCCACAAGAAGCAGTTAAATGGTTTTCCACATGGATGGCTTCAGCAGGCCAGGCTTGTGGAATAACCACTGCCAAGCTGTGCTGAAGGCACACATGGGGCAGGGGTGCCCAATCACACTGACACACCAAACCATGTCTGGTTTTAGAGCTTGTTTCATGCTTTTCCTCCCCTTGGGAGTGGGAAGACACATTTGCTAGAACCTTCTACCACAATCAGCAACCTTCTTTTGGTTTTATTTTATAGAGGAAGATTTTATGCAGGTCGATCTCTGCATAGCATCATCCTGTGCAGTGTGGTGAAAGGCCAGGGACTTTATGCCCCTGGTTCTGCTGTTTCCGTCTCCACCACTCCTAGGGTTTGCATTACGAGCAAGGAAGAAGTTCCCTGTCCTAAGTACAGGGACTGGGATGCTTTGGACATAGGGAAAGGGTAACAGCTGCTCCTAATACAGCCGTAAACAAGCGCTCTACAGCGAAGTGAATTCTGAGGTTTCTTAACTTTGGGGAAGTTGTATGGAGTATAAGAAAGGGGCAGCATATAATTAAAGTTCATATGTCTTAATTAGGGAATCTGAGAGAGCTCGCTTGGAGATAAAAGAGTAGCAGATGTGTTAGTGATGAGAAGTTGACGTGCTATAGAGGAGACATAAAATCAAAAGCCCATGAAATGTTTCATGCTCTATTTTGGCGAATGAATCCGTAGTTCAAAGCCTCCCCAATGCTTAACACATTCATTTTGATCACCTGGGCATTGATACGTATTATTCTCTGACATCTTCTCATATCTACCTGCTCCTGCCCAGTACTTGTGAGGAGGATGTGCCCCTGTACGTAACGCAAGCGCTGTGAGAAGCGGCAGTGTTGGAGCATCTGCAGGCCAGGCATGTCTGGGACACAGTGATCACTCACAAAGGGAATTGTCCCTGTAGCCGTGTTCCTCAGTAACGATGCCCCAGTAGCCAAACCAAGAGCATTCAGCTGAAATTGTCAGCAAACGTTGGCTTTTTGGAATTAAAAGATCTCAGTAAAGTTCTTCATACCTTGGAACTGATACTAAGGAAGGACGTTCTCATTCCTGTGTATTTATGACTACCACTGAAGTTAGTTTTCGACATCCTGCTGACGTGCATTCCTAGAAGAGGGACATCAGTGGCCCTGGGAAGGAGGGGACATGTTCTCATGGGCTGTCAGCATTTAGCCTTCAGGCGCAGCAGGTCCCCTCACACAAACCTCCTACCTGGGTTTTCAAATGTATACGTAGAAACTCAACCAAGTCCCCCTGTGTCTCTGCGTGTACCTGTGAACTGTTCTTTGTGTTGTGGAAAGCGTGCAGTTTATTTTCCTTATGCCTCTCCCATCCCATTTCTGTCTCTCTCTCATTGACTAATTTATGCTGGGCTTTATTTGTTCTTTTAATTTGTTTTTTAGCGCTGTGGAAGGCAAGAGGGGGGAGGGTTTCTGGGGCCAGGCTCTCCAGCTCAGCACATCCTTTGCTGTGGTGGAGCTCGTGGCCGTGCCCTGCTGTGGGCTCTGGCCCCCAGCTCTTGGAGGAGGAAAGCAGGAAAGGTCCCCCCAGGCCGCGCTGCTTCTTTGCGTCCTTGGTTTTCTCTGCTCACGATTGACCGCTGTTGTGTTCTGCTTGGGTTTTCTTAATTTGCTTTTTTTTTATTATTTTTCCTTTTTATATTTTATCCAGATCCCCCCACAACTATCCCTCCTCCCACAACAACCACCACCACTACCACCACCATCCCTACCACCATCACAGGTACGGTACCTTCATAACCATTGGAAATGTCCTGAATGTTTATTGTCTTTTGTGTATATAAGCCGAGCATGAAGCCTGGGGAAAAAACAACAAACAGATCACTTGCATTTTACCTTTTTCTCTGCAAACACCCCTCCAAGCCCTGGTGGGGCAGTTCAGGAGTTGGACGGTCCCTGCTGCAGGGGGTTGTGACAGGCGGGGATTGCTGTGGCAGGACAAGCTGTTCATGAGGTTACTGGTGGCTGGTGCTGGGTGCTGTCAGATGAAGGATGCAAACAGCCGGAGAGCTCAGTTAATCCAGGCCGTTGTCTCAGCCTCACCCCCGTCACTGTCACAAAAAATGGAAGCAGAAAGTTGGGTCTTGAGTAATTTAATTCTCCTGGTGTGACTCGAGATGCTTTTTCTCATGTCTCAGTGTTCAGTCTCTCTCTGTGATAAGGCCTTTGCCTCGCTCTCGCAGAAAACGGAACTCCACCGGTCAGTTTAGACTCAGTCACAGGACCCTTTTTGAGGAGCTGGCTTTTACTGGGTGTTTCCTTGTCTCACGAGACAAGAGGAACAAACCCAGCCAGCCGATCGTGAGGCACCTTGTGCTGTTACCTGCATCCATCACCCTTCCCCACTAGACCCGACTCTCCCCTCATGCCGAAGGCCTTTCTGAGTTCTTTGTAATCATTTGCATTGCCATTTTCCCAATCTTTTCTGTGTCAGCTGCTGCTTTTGCTTTTGCTTGTGTTTTGGGTTTTTTTTTGTTTGTCTTTTGGTTTTTTTGAGGTAGGGGTGGCAAACCGAAGGTGAGCGTGGACCGTTGAGTAGCTAATGGCGTAATGTTTATCGCTGCTGTAAAGCATCCCCTGTGTAAATACCTTCATGTTTTATTTGCTCTTCTGCCGTTGCTCAGCTGACCTGACTGTCCTGCTCGGGGTGTTCTGTGGCTTCTCTCCCTCTGAGGTTTTGGCAGCCCAATCAGACCCGGCTGGCATGGACAAGCGATTGAAGCCTTTCTCCCAACGTGCCTTACTGTGCGCCATGGGCCACCCGCCATCGCGCTCTCTGGACCTGGCCCTTCTCTGTCTTCCTCTTTCCAGGTGGTTATGGATAAACCCGGACTCCAGGCACCCGGGTTTGGATGCTTGAGATGCTCCACTGTGAACGTGCACCCGTTTGGCCACTTGGTCGCCTTGTTTCGGTTCTGTTTTTACTTTCTTAACTTAACCAGCTTTCATTTCAGAGTAGTGTCAAACTCGATGAAAAGTCCCCAAGAGCCGCTTGCCAAGAAGCCTGGTCCCTGGGGCTGGGTGTCATGGACACACATGTGGTTCTCTTTTGCTTTATGGTAATTTGTTAATGCTTTCAGTGAATTTTGGAAGGCTGAAAGGAAGAATTGGTCTTGGTGCTTCATCAACCCCATTAAGTCCATGTGGGTACCAGCAAATGCCTGCCCTTTTCCTGGGAATTGGATTGTTATCAGCCTGTCACTTTAGGGGTGATGGTCTTCAAAGGGAAGGAGGACCTTTGGCAGCATGTTATCCCAGCTGTTTCTCCTCAGTAGCTTTCCATCGGAGCAAACTGTTGCCCTGAGGATCAGCACTGCCCTTTGTGAGGGTGCTGCTCCATGGGGAGGCACAACTACATTGGAAAACTGCAAGAGGTGCCCAAAGATGCATTGACCAGCAGCTCTTTATTTCCTGGATCAGCAGAAATGTGGGTTGCTCTTTCATCAGCCTGGCAGAAGTGCCTTGAGCTCAGGAGTGTGTTGCTGCTCTGTTTTCCCTCACCTTTGTTTGCCGTGGTGGTGGAGGATCTAAAACTCAAAGCTTGCTGACATCCTGTTGGCAAAACCTGACTGGGTCTCCATCGCCTCTTTCATTCCTTTTGTTATTGGCTTTGAGCTGCTGAGGAGGCTGGAGAAGTAATGAAAATGTTATATTGTTCACTGATTCCAGCAGTTACTGCTCACGGTGCGTAGGAAGATTAGTTAATGCCGATAAGAGAGATTTTTATATTCTTCCCTGACACCGATCTGACGCTGATTCTTCTTGATGTGTGTCTTCACATCTTCTGCCCACAAGTTCAGTGTGCTTTGCCCACAAAAAGCAGCTGAGGCTTTGCTGGGACGTGCCTGGGTATGTTTTCCAGCAGCCAGGCAGCGTGAGGCTGCAGAAACTTCTGCTCTTCAATAGTTAAGAGACTTTGTCACTGGGAAAAATTAGGTCAAATTAACATAATCTCTAGAATTACATAGCATAGCAGTGTTGAAACCCTTTTTAAAGCCTTGAGAGACAATTGAAACCTTAATTCCCATCCTCACCAAAGCACTGAGATACTGTTGTGGCGTGACAGAAGTGCTTGGGTGGCAGACGGGGTGTTCTTGCCTCTGCTGGCAGGTTGGCTGCAGCTTGGAATCAGATTTATTTTGCCTTTTCCCTCCTGCTGCTTGTGTAATACCAGCCTAGTTCACATCCCCTGAAACCACAGAGTGCTCTGGAAAACAGTTGTCTTGTCTTAACGTAAAAAATTGTTAAGAAAGGGTTAGAGAGAGCCCTGCACTGAACCGTTTCCATGTCCCATGCTCGGGCTTTGGGTGTGCTGTTAGCTCTCACAGCTGCCCCTAGGAATTCTTAGAACTGCTCCTTCTGAGGTATTGGAGATAACTTGTCCTGAATTCATTCTCCCCTGCTAAAACTCTCCGGTGGAACAATCTCAAAGGGCTGCATTTGCTACTCCACGTGCATTCTGAGTTAGCTATTCCTTTTGTGCAGGTTCCCATGACAGACATCTTTCTTTTCTTGTTTACGTGCAGTCTTTCTGCTCCAGACGTGTTTGGACATGACATGGAAATGCAGCCCTGTCCCGCGGCATTATCCTTGTGTGGTGATAGGCGCTGCTCAGCCAACATGAGCCAGAACAGTGGGTGCAGCAAGTGGGGGAGAACAGGTAGCGTGATGTGTGGGAATGGGATGGAGCATGGGCGTTATCCCTGCGCTTGTGGGGCGCACGGTGATCCCTGGGTGCTCTGAGATCCCCTAAACCCAGCCAGGTCCATGCCTAGAGCCACGCATCAGCCCCACTTGCTTGGCACATCCAAGTCGTGTTCCGCTGCTGCAGGCTCCGTGCAGGGAGGTGGGGAAGGTGTCTGATGAGCTAACCTGCTGCTTCCTTCCAGGAGAGGGGAAAGCTGAGCAGCGTAAAGTTTCCAAACAGCACGACCTTTAAAGCTTTGCCTCTGTCACTGTTGCTTTGCTTCACTGTAGGTGCTTGAAAAGATTTCCTGCGTGACAGCTTGATCTTTTTCGTATATCCTCCAAGTGCATTGATATTCCGGCCGTCCTTCAGTGCTTCAGCTGTTATCGCTGGCAAGCCCTTTCTGATCGGTTCAAATTGTCCTTGTGGCTTTGTTCATTAAGATGTACAATACGATACAGCAGAACAAACTGCATAATTTGAATTACCCCTGGAGCTGTCCCTTGAAACGCTGGTTTTGGGCAGCTGTTGTTTCCTGGGAGATAAAGGCTCTTAATAACAGCCCGGCCCTTATCCGCGGGCATGGTGCAGAGCAGGGCTTTCTGCTTGCCTTCCTGAGCATCCTTCAGTCTTCCAGGATCCACAGGGTTAATTGTCTGTGCCCATTTGCATTTATCACACTCTCTCTGCAGATGGGTCACGCAGGTACCTGCGCAACAGCTTTGGTGGAGTCCTGGGGGTGACATACACGCGTTACCCGCACTGTGAGCCTTGCAGTGGGTGCTACTGATCCTGCAGAGCTGCTGCCCATGTCACAACTGCCAGTACCTTCCACTGTGGTCTCTCTTTAAGGGCCTTTTAGACCGTACTTTAACTCCCTGGTCTCTTGGATATATGGTAGCAGGGATGGGTACGCATGCAGGGGTTGGCACACTGCAGGCAGCGGGTTTAGCTTGAGAATTCCCAGGGATGCTCAGGCCCTGTGATGAGCTTGTCTGGGCAGCACCAAGTCTGTGCTGTGGAAACACTGTGATCCTGGAGGAAGGGATTTTTACGGTAGGTCTGCGGGAGGTGGGGAGGCAGCATGGGAATGACTCGGGTCCATGTGGATCACAGCCCTGCATCCCTTCGGGTTCGGCTGCTCATGCCTATGGCTGTGTGTGGTGGTGCTCAGCCCAGCCAGGGGCTCGATGGCACCACGCAGGGCTCCATGGTGCACCATGGGGACACCATGCAAACTTGTGCTCCCACATTATTTAGTACCTTCTGGCTTTGGCTTTCCATGGAAGCTTCAGCAGGTCCCCAGTAAAATGTCAAGTTAATTTAAAGATGATGCTGCACTCTCCTGACATTTTCATCCAGGATGTGGCTGCATTAAAGGGAATAAAGGAAGAGAGAGTACCTGACAGGCCCGTTACAGGGGAAAAAATGAGATAAATTCAGTCTTTTAGTGCTGTGTCCAGTCAGTAGCAGACACGGTTCTGTCACACCTGGTTGTACCATTGGTGACACCGCGTGAGCAGCACAGAAACCATCCTTTTGCTGGGCAGAACTTTGTGCATTTAGGAGAGCATTTAATAGGAATATTATTGTTCCTGCCAAACGCAACCCCCATGCAGCTTGTGATTGTTTTGGTGAAACATCTGGTCCACAAATCAAAGTGTCCCAGGGGTGCACTGCAACACACCCATACGCAAAAGCTTTCAGCACAAGTTGGAGCTACTCATTGTTGAGTATCGTAACGCAGGGTGTGTGTTCATCCGTCCTCCAAGGAGCAGTGCTGTGCTAATGTCCAACACCAGCAGGCGCGTATCCAGTGGGAATGACAGGGAATTTCGTAGGGTTTTCTCCAAGCCTCAAGGACCTGAGATGAAGCAGAAATCACTTGTAACTGCGCTGGTCCCCAGGGCTCGCCATGGTCACTACAGGTGAAGAAGTCTGGAAAACAGGGAAGAATCAGAGCTCCACAAGTCAGTGATCAGATTGGCTCTTGTTTTCAGTTCAGAAAGCAATTGAGAAGGCAGTATATCAAATAGATATATACAGTGACTAATACCTCCTTAAGTCTGAAAAAAGAGGTGTGTTTTGCCATTATGCTGGTGATGAGCTGCTGTAATTCTCTTTACAATAGCTGTGTGGTTTTCAGCCCCAACATATTGTGTGCTTCTGTGAGGCTGCAGCTCAGGCATTTGAGTTGCTGAATGTAATTTTGCTGCTGGGGTGTTAATATTCCTCCCTCGTGCTCGTTCTGTTTGAGGCTGTGGACTCATTACGGACGGGTTTAAAGGGCCTGGTCTGTGACACTGCACAAACAGTTTGAAGTTGGAGAGAATCCATTTGAGGAAATGCGGAGGCTCAGTGATGGAGCTTGGAGCTCAACCAAGTGCTGCCCAGGTGCCTTCATGTGGTGATTCTGTAAATACCTGTGTATATGTGTGTGTGTGCATGCTTGTGTTGCTACCTAATGAAGTGTTGAGTGCCTAAAACTTGGGTGTCACCCGAGTTTTCTTAGCTACAGATAACACCATGTGTATCACAAGATGATGCATGATGGTGTCTTCATGCCAGAGCTGGCAGCGATAAACTTGGTTCCTAGATCAATGCTAGAAAGAAATCATGATTATGCAGCTTTACAGAGGCCAGTGGTTCCTTTCTTGGGCACCTCCTTTAATTGTAAACCAGTGCTCTGGTGAATTTATGTACACATAGCTATTGAAGGACTACTGCATTGTTTTCCTTCTCCCCAGACAGCACACTTATTGTCTTACCAGTTAGAACTGGGAAGAGAAGCCTTACTCTTGAGATGGAAAGTACCACATTGAGGTTCTTTGCCTGTGTGCTTTCCACGTCCTCTCTGCTTTGCCACATCTTGTAAAAGAGCCTGTTTTCAGCACCGACTTAACATTTTACATGATAAGCATCATTCTGTGTGATGGTGTGATTGCTCTTCATGCGCAGGGCTCAGGACCAGAACGGTGCTTTTTGGCAGTGGCAAAGCCTTTCATTGTCTTCCTTCAACCTCAGCTAAGTCAGGAACATATCAAGGACTTCCTTGTTGGTCTATATTTGAGGAGAGGAGATTATGTTTATTCTAGGACATGGGGCAGAGGCCTGGTCTCCGTGGTGCTGTATGTCTGGTCTGGCGTATGAAGGTGGCTCTCTCACAAGTGAAGGCAAAGTGAATGGCACGTACCCAGGGTTCAGGGGAGCACGGTTAAGGTTAGCCAGGCCACCGAAACGTGGTGTGTTGTTGTAGCAGCAGCGTTGCAGGGCCGGGGTGTTCCTTCCCTGTTGGGCAGAGCAGTGGAGGAGCTGGCTGCACGCACGGTATGATTCATTTAATACCAAAGCAACGGTGATGATACTTCTCTCCTTTGCCATGTAACCGCTGTGTTGTGTGCTGGTGCCAGGGGGCATTCTTTGCTTTGCTTTAACACGGGATTATTCCTCTCGGAGCACGGTGTTTGTACAACCCTCTTCTCAAAGAAGACTCTGGGATGGAAAAGGACTGCCGGAAAACTCATGCTAAACTTTAACTGGTGTGTGTTTCCTATTGCTACCATCCAAACCATTTGCTAATCATAACTTTGTCATTCCAGCTGCAGCCAACATGTTGTTTGACTTGGATATTTGTTCGCACTTACAAGCGCTTGAGAACTTTGTGTTCTGTAACCTGTCGGTCTCTGTCCCCAGCCGGGGAAGCGAGATGCACTGTCCATTTGCACTGTTTCCTCACCAATATCTCTTCCAGCACGTGAATACAAGTTTGCTTTCAGCAGATTCTCTATTGAGCATAAAAGCTGACATAACTCTTTTTGTTTCAGGAAGACAGTAAATTGAGACTATCTGTAGATGCCAAGACGCTATCTCAAGAATTAATGCTCAGGTTTACAGCCCTTTCTAAATGACAGCTTTCCCCCTTTGCCACCATTTCCCCCTCCACCATTTGCTTGGTTAAACCAAAGCCTCGCTTGGGGACGGCTGCCCAACAGCAAAGCAGAGCCTGGCTTTTGCTCTCCCTTGGCTTTGGGAAGCTCCCTTCCCGCGGGAGCATGGGCTGGCGCCTCTAAGCGTGCGTTAGGCTGGGTTGCCAAGACGAGAACAGTGTGCACTGGCAGTGCAAGCAGGCTAATGACGGCTTGATAATCTGTTATGCAAATCTTGGTGCAGTTTGTTAAATTGTGCAGGGTTTATTTGTTTTGCTTTCATAATTAAAGCATGTAGACCTTGTATCTGTAAGTATTGTGTATTCCTCATATGATTCTTGTCTCCTCTGGTGCTTCAGAAATCCAGCCCTGGGCTGTCCTCAGCTAAATTGCGAAGGAGCGGGGGGTCCTTTTTCTGCTGCTGCCTCGGAACGTGCAGGAGGACACCCCATGCAGGGTGCTCCCAGCAGCATGTTAGCGAGGGGAAGCATCAATGTGAAGTGTCTGTCATTGTCTGAAAACTCAAGCTCCGGGCTGCTTTGCAGGAACAGGCATTAGAGCGCATCTCTACACTTACGGGGGTTTATGCATTTAAACATTGCCTGCATCGAACCAAGTTGAGCTGTGCAAAACCTGGGCTTTGCTGTGGGCTCCAGGGGAGCAGTAGGGATTTGTGGGGTTACAAGCCAGCCCCACTAACACAAGCTACCAACATCACAGAATGTGTAGAACCAGATGAATAGTAGATGAGTTTTGATAGCTAAATAAGCCAGTAATTTGGATAATGCAAGCAAATATGATTTAGAGCTGTTGTTGTAGGGCAATAGCATAGGACACTGTCAGGAAAAGCCTTCAGATTTGGTCAGTCTTTAAAACAGACTGTTGCAAACACCCGTGAGGAGATGAAGCATGTCTCTTTTGGAAAGGCAGCAACTCCCAAGACATTTCTGGCTGTGAATAGTAGGTACGGGGTGAAATCAGCTTCAGATTCCTGACCAGAAAAGGGCCAATGTATTGTTAATTACTGATAGCTGTTAACCAGGTGCCTGTTGCAGTAGAGGGCCTGGTAATGTCTGTCTGCGTTTGCCAGTTCTAGAATGTGTTTTACACCTGAAAACTACTGCGTCTGGCAGGTATGAGGCTGGATGTGGCCAAGGCAGAGTTGCTGCTCGCGCCTTCAGTACCAGACATGAGATTTCCAGCAGCCCCTCAGCAAGGCTCCAGGTTAGGAGGCTGGGCCATGTACAGATGTGCCTGGAGGTTCCCTGCGTTGGGTGAAGGAGGAGGAGAGGTGGGAGCAGATGAAGGCAATGTTTGAATACATAAAAGCCCTGTGCCAAGCGTGGGCTCTTTGTCCTGGTCCCGAGCTTCTGTTTTGGTCCTCTGCCAACTGCAGTGTTGGTGTGGGTGTTCTCCCCCGACTTTGCAACCACCAGTAACCATTCTGGCAAGGTCCTGGAAAAAGAGGCAAATTTACTGTTTTCCTCAGGCTCATAGCTTTTGAACTGGAGGCATGTCTTCTAAACAGTGCAACTCACTTCAAATGCTTTTTGCCTTTCATTTTATTATTGCTTGTCACGCAATGTTCTTTGAAAGCTTGCTCATATATTATCTGTTCCATTTTTTCCATTTTCCCTTTTTTTGCATGCTGTTCCTCCTGTTTCTTCCCTTCCTCCAATCCTCTGTTCCCGTGTGTAGACACAACGGCGACGACAGAACCGGCAGTTCACGGTTGGTATCACATTCCTGTTTCTCTTATTTCTCAGCGCTGCTGAGTGGCAAGACAAGCCTGGGAAGGGGAAGCAAAAAGGGAAATGCAGTCTTCAAGGGAAAACTGTGCTTCAGGTGGACTCACCTCATACATATAACATGGGTTTTAAGGCTGGAAAGTCTGTCTGGTTTTGTCATTGCTGTTGTGAGCTTTGCAGCTGTTCCACTGCCAGGCAGGTCCCAATCCCCCCAGCCCCATAGAAATGGTGCATGTCTGCGAGCGGTGCCAAGGCAGTGAGTGGTTCTCTGCTCATCTTCCTTACCAGGGCAATCGCTTCATGCATGGAAAAGAAATCTGGCTTTTGAAAACAAGAGCTCAGATTTAATTCTTTAAGTCCAGTGGCACAGGCAGTGTTTGGCATCCTGGGGATACTCTGCAGAGGGGCCGAGGGCAGCAGCGAAGTTCTCATCATTACAGTGCAGAAGGAGGCTTGGAAAACAAGTCGCAGCACTTCCCTATCAGCATAGCAGTCTAGCAAAGTAACCCTGCTCATCTGCTGGAGGCAGCCAAGTTAACAGCTTGACAGCTTCCGAAACGAGCCGAAATAGTCACGTCAGGCTGGAAGCTGAGCATGCTGCTTTTGGCACGAGCTCGCTTTTCAGCTAAAGAACCAAAACCTCTGACAACTTTAATGAAGGCTAACCCACATCTGAGTTTCCTATTTTAGTTGCTTTTAGCAGATAAATTGGCCCTTTCTTTTATCGATAGAAGTCTGTGACACAGAACCACCTCTCCTCCCTGGCGTATCTGGGGCAGTGACAGAGGTAGGACTGAGTGAAGTGACAGTTGAGTAGTGAGGCCCCTTATCAAGCAGAGGGACATGCAGTTCTTGTCCTGGATAACTTGCCTGCTCCATGCCTTTTCCCCCTTGCCACAAGAGCTGGCAGCCTGCAGGCATAACTTCTGTTCTCTGTACATCGCTGGTCTCCCTTTTCATATTTGACATCAGATGAAGGCAAAAAGTTGATCGCCCGGTCGTTGGGCCGCAGGGAAAGCCTTGAAGAGCTACCTTTGAAGGTGGTGGCACCATTTCATTGCCTGCAGGTCTGCTCAGTCCTGCTTGCTCCGGTGCTAAGGATCTGGCTGCTCCTCTGAAGCACCAGCTCAGCACTTTGCTGCTTTAGAAGAGTCCGAGAGCAGTCAGAAAAGTCAGAAGAGACCCAGGCTTGGTCTGGAAGGAAATCAGGCTCCATTCCGCTCTTAGTCTCACAGTGAGCGCTGTGTACGGTGTGGGTGCAGCAGGAAGGTGTCCTGCTTCAGCAGCACCTTGATGCAGAGCGCAGGGAGAGCAGAGAGTCTTCAGCACAGCTCTGGAGACTCTGCCTATAGAGCAATCCCGCTCCAACGACCTGCCACAGACTTTCCTGCCATAAATCCCAGCCAGTTGGCACCGAGCCCCCTGCACTTGCCTATGGGGCTGCTTTTCCCGTGAAGACTCGGGGGGTTCTTTCCAAGCTTGTGTTGCTGGAGTGTGTATGGAGTATACCAGGTGTTTCTGTATGTTGGCCATTTGTTCTTACCAATGTCCGATGGGAGTGAGCATGTCTGTGAATGACTAGAAATGCATGGGCATGAACTACAGCCAAATGGATTTTCTCCAAAAACGATTCCAAATGAATTGGGGGAATTAAAACTAAAACAAACCAAAAGAAAAAGAAAGGGAAAAAAAAAAAAAAAAAAAAAAACAGAAAAAGAGATTGGTAGCAAAGAAAATGAAATGTAAGGCTAGTGGGAACCAGCACAATACTTCAATTGGGGAAAGGATTTTTGAGTCACGTAGTGTTTTGGAGCGTATCCTAGAGGACTGGGGGGAAGGAGTCCTGTATGTGTGTGCATGTAAAGGCGGTAGCAAAGCCCCTGCCATTCCCCTCTGGAATGGAGTTGACGGCAGCGCTGCATGAGTGACCTAAAGCACGAACATTGTTAACTCTTTCTGTTGAAAACTGAGAGCTGAACTGTGAGTTTTCTGATGCACTTTCTCCTTTCTCTGCACTGTTCATTGCCAGAACTCCAATAACAGCATGGTCATGGCCGGCAGGAAGGCTTGTGCTTCTGCTGCAGCGCACTCAGCCGGGTTTACCGAGCTGAAGCCCTTCTTCCCTCCCTCCCGTGGTGCCCCCTGAGGGTCCCTGGTCCCCTGCTCCCTGCTGATGTACAGCCGGAGCCTCCCACTGCCACGCATGGAGAGCAGGCGCTTTCCCTGCCATGCCCTTCCCTTCCATCTCCCCTGTCCCTCTCCCTCTCAAAGTCCACATGCCAGTTTTTATCCCTTGGCCGCTGTCACCGCTCACAGGCCGGGATCTCCTCCCTGCAAGGATCCCATCGGACGAGACGTCCGGCTCACGTTTTGCCCCCTGCACAAGCAGGACATGTATAAGCAGCCATGACCTTATACATGACCAGTGAGAGCGATGACTTAATTCCTCCACTTTTTCCCAAATTTTGACCCTGCCCTGTCAAAAGCAAAGAGCTGAACAAGCTCCTGAAGGATCTCCCAGACCTCGGGCATTGCCCGTTGCAGTGGGTTACGCTGTGGCGGGGCAGCCCCGCGTGCACGTACGTGTGCTTGGCTCAGAGCTGCCTTCGGCTCCGCACCGGGGCAGAGACGAGGTGCTGCTGCCTCAGCACAGGCAGGATCTCTGCTCGTCCCCATGAAAAGGTAGGGCGAGAAAGATCTCTTCTGAAGCTGGCAAAGCAGGAACCCGGAGTGGAGGTTAAAATAACGAAAGCATCCCAGTCGTGAACGAAGAGGGACGAAAGTACCTTGCCCATAATCTAGCAGGTAAATGATTTTCTAAGCTGGAAATTCTTCCCCAAAGGCCCATATGAATTTTTAATTAGGGCCTTAGCAGGGTTTTGGATGAGAACATTTAACACCGCTGTGTTAAGCTCTTGTTGCCTTTTCTGATAGTGCTCGGTCGCTGAAGATGAGTTTTACTTGTGCGAAGCCTAAAGCTGAGCCAGAAGCTGCTGGGCTCACGGGTCTCACCACAGGCAGCAGCACACAGGGAGAAAGCCAAAGTGCCTTCTGCAGTGTTGTTGGCACACAGCTCTGCCTGTCCAGCTGCCTTGTTCCTCTTTGAAGGTGCAACTGAGAGTAAATACATTCCTCAATATATTTCACAGCTCCAGCCCTCGGGGAGGTTGAGTAAAACATCACAAAGCTCCCGGCACGTGTTGAGGTTTCTGTACAGTGCCATGGAACTGGCAGCATTGAATATAATCCCTAATTGATATTTACAGCTTGGTACAAAGAGAAATTGTCTTTTCCTTAAACCTGGAGGCAGCTTAGGCAGCAGAGTGCAGCTCTGGGGCTAGAGACGTGCATATAACCAGTGTGTTGGGTCTGGGTAGAGAGTGGCAAGTCAGCTTCCATTTCTTCTGCAGGAGGTGCAACAGACTCTGAGTTCCTCCTGATGGGGGGTGAAAAGGAGGAGCTTTCATAGCTCAGGTCAAAGCTTAATGAGAGAAACCAAGAAGTAATTTATCATGAGTTTAAAATGCCTCGCAACAGGCTTTAATACTGTTCGGTGGCATTTTGAAGTGTAGCAGGTACAGGGAGAACCTGGATCGCTGAAATGTTACATTTTCTTTTCTAAAAAAGGTGGTTTGGCTTCATGAAAAATGCAGCTTTGCCCTTTCTTGTTATTGAGAAAACGCAGTGAAAGGGAAGGCTCTACAGGAGGAATTTCGGAGAGAGAAAAGTCAACTGGCTCCTCTTTGAGCCCAGCTTTGTGTGTCCAGTGCTTCTGGAGTCACCTGTAATGGTATTTGTGTATTGTATTCCAGTAAAAAAGGAGGCTCCCTGAAGCCCAGGAGCAGCACACAAACAAAAATCCAGCCATTAATCTAAACACTTCCCACTTTAGAAGGTAAATCCCACCGCAGCGTCCAGGTGACTCGATGTGTTTAACCAGCAGTCGCTGGGAGCGAGTTTTACCTCCGGTGCGCTCCCTCTATATGTGGTTTGCTGCTCCCAGGGGGACAAGGCTGCGCACGCCAGCATAGCAGTGACCTCTTGGCTGTTTAAAAGGAGGTTGGTGATTTTAGGGGTCTGCCGGCTCATGATGCCACTTCCCAAACAAACGCCCAGCGATGCCGCTGTCTCTTCATAGGGAATACTTCTTTTTTCTCCAATAACACCCATGCTTTGGTAGCCAGAGGAAACCACTGCAGCTACTGCTGGACTGTTCCTGCTTTAAAGGGATCGCTGTGGCCTCCAGGCAGGGGTTTGCCCTGTAACCTGTGCAGGGGAGAGCACTCGAGATGTTCTGCCCTCCTGAGGAGCCCCCAGCATCAAACTCCCCAAGAGAACAGGAAAGAAGAGCTTTCACAGGCAGTGTTTGCTGCCTCGTGCTCCCGAGAGTGTCTCGCCTGACTGCTTTATCAGCTTTGAGGAGAGAGACTTTTCCCATGAATGCATCAGATTTGGGAAAAGGGAAAAAAGAGCCTCTGTGCGATGCATTAGCGGAAGCCCCAGCCTGCATTCTGCTCGTACAGGTGCCTGGCAGCTCTGAAATGCGACCCACAATATTCCCTCATTGGTAAAGTGCCGGGCTTGTCAGCATTCCCACACCAAGATTGAATTGTGTGGCAAATTGGAAGGGCCTTTTCCAGTGCTGTTGTATGCACAGAGCCCGAATTGGACTGGTCTAAATTGGAAATCGCTCCCACGGGGACTAAAAGGCAGAGTCTGGGGGTCGTTGCATGCTGTTATGAGTGAGTAGTTTTGATGCCATGTTCGGTGTGCCAACAGTGTAGACCGAGGAATGTTTCTGTCTGTTACAAAGGGAATGATTGCAATTCTGTCCTGCGGGTTACTCTGCCCTACCTGGCAGAAGGTGGCAAGTGATTGACGCATTATTTCTGTCCCCCTCCCAAGAAATTCATCCTCAGTTCTTAAGTGTGTTGTTTTTTGTCACTCGAGGAACGCAGAGAAAAATGAGTTTGTTTTTACTTGTAAGGCTTTACTCACTTGCCCAATTCGGCAGAGGAGCTGGACTATGGTGATCTCTCAGGTAAGGGCTAGTATGTAGGTAAACACTGCTCTTCTACCCTAGATACTGATTCCACTCTGATTTCTGCACCCTGGCCACGCTGCCTTGTCCCATTGCTGTGGCACAGCCATCCCTCCACGCACAGACTCCAGAGCAGGCAGCACAGAGCAGCCCCACAGCTGCTTCCAGCCAGGAGGATCCCAGCCGAGGGCTGGAGTCCACCCATTTCCCCTGGGAGCTGAACCCAGTGCAGTAACACTGGCAAAAAAACCCAAGCCCCTGAATCCTCATCCTGTTCCATAGAACCTTTACCTGATCCAAGCAGCAGCCTCCCCTGTGAGCCATTTAGGGTACGCTTTGGCCAAGAGGTCAGAAATGATTGATGAATCCAGTGTGTGTTCTAACACGTGAGCAGTACTAATCATTGTTATTGCAGGCCTGGCAAGGTAAGCAGCACTAGGGGTCTGTGCGGTAGCACTCCGTGGATGGGAAACAACTGTTCTGCTCTGAGATGTTTGGTTACTTTTTAAATTTGGGGGTTTTTTGAAGAAAAATGCACCGTTTGGTGACTGAAGGGAAGAAGGGAAACAATTCCACAAAGGAATTCCTCAAAATGGGTGTCTGCTGGCAGCCCTGCCTTCCCTCCTGTGCCCCAGCCTGCGGCTCCGGTGAATGACTCGTGCCTTTTCCTGAGCATCGGGTGCATGATCCAGTTTTCTGGATCCTGAATGCAAGGCAAAACTTCCCCTGAGTTCACTGGAATCACTGTGAGCACAGCGAGCGGGTGAGCGGGCACCTTTGTGCACCACCATGCACCCATCTTGGAGCATCCCTTTGGGCTGCTGGTTGGGTTTTTTCCCCTAGGAATTTCCAGTTTTGCTTGTTGCTCTCTGGGTTCCTGACCCCCAAGGGTAATGGTACGGAGTCAAAGAATGAAGGAGTCCCAGGCCATTCCCTGCCTCAAACACAACTGCCCTCTGCCCCATAGCCCATGCCTGACTCTGGGAAGCTGCAATAGATCCATTTGGGCACCGGGGTCAGCACATTTGAGCTGTCAGGCGGTGGTCCAGGTGAGTGCCAGAGCCAAGCTCTCCATGGGGAGCACTGGGAACCTGCGGGACCAGCCCAGGGGTATGTGGGAATGCTGGGGTGTGTGCTCATGGCTCGTGGAACGCGTGGCTGCTGCTGCGGGTTTGCTCAGTGTGCTGTTCCTTCCAGGTACTCCTGTCCTGCTAAATGCTTCAACGGAGGCTCTGCCAACTGTGCAATTAAGTAATGCATCCCTTGCCTTCCGTCCAGGTAGCTAGTTTGCAGAGCTGTCTTCGCTTCTCCTGGTCGAGCTGTGTGTGTGTCCGTGCCACTCGCAATGCTCCTCTCATTCCTACCCTATAGAGACTGTAGGCTATGGCAAGGAACAGGGTCTCTTCTGCATTGGCCCAGCCTCACAGACCAGTGTCCTGCAGCGCTGGGGACAGCTGGGGCTCACAGCCGTGCGTACAGGCATAGGGCTGGCTGTGTATCACCATGCTGCTGCCTGCTCCGGTTGGGAGCACCCGGGTAGCCGGATGCAGGACGCCTGGACCCACGTCCCTTGGCTTTCCTGCACCTCTTGTGGACAGGGAGCAGTCAAGGAGGGCACATGGGGTCTGGTCAGCACCTTGTTCAGGGGAGATGCTGATGAATCAGCTGCTATGGATTGTGAGTGGGGCTTTGTTCCTTAGCAGAGGGGAGCCTCGAGAAGCCACCAGAGAACATTGAGCACCTGTCATAGGGATTAAATTGATTGAAGCGAAGCACAGTATTTCTTATGAAGGGATCTTGAAATGGGTCGCTGAAGGGGCACTTATTGATTGACGAAGGGTGAACTCCTCAAATCTCTCTGGCTTAAATGAGACCAAATGCAATTATAATACAACAAACAGGTTAATGCTACTCTTTAAGAGCCCATCAATAAATTAGAGTAGGGGCAGAGCGCTTAATGCCACGCTGTAGTAATGAATAATGGTATTGCTCATCCTGTCATACACGGGCAGGGATTTCTGTCCTCCCACATCATGGTGGGGTGGTTTATAGTGTTTCTGATGTAGTGACAGCCTGTTCCTCCCCCAGCCCCATTCTCTAGTGCTTCTCCAGCGTTTGGAAACCACAAATTCAGTGGGGAAAGGTCAGTGTGAGCTGTAGGTGTCCTACCTTGTAGTGAGGAGGAATAGCTGGCTGCCTGGTTGTTCAAAGCACAGCAGGGACTTAAGGCCATTAGCGCCTACACTGTGACCTGTAGGACAGTGTATTTAGTTTATTTAGAGGGAAAAAAGATGGCTAGAGGGAGAAAAGTTAGGAATTCTTCAAAGAAATTGCTGGGTTTCGTTTCCCCACCCTGTTGCAGATGTTCTGTTAGCATCTGGGCAGCACGGAGCTGTCAGTGGAGTTCGTAAGTGTCTAAACTTACATATGCACACACAAATTCAGCCCGTGTTGTCCTACATCAAGAGCTTCACATTAATTCTCACCCAGAAATAGAAATTTTTGTGGCAGTGCAGCAGTAACTCATTAAACCAGAACTGAGAGGAGCCTTTTTACTGGGAAGTTAGGAGGAGAACTGTCTTCCCTCTGCTAAACCTTGCTGTGAGGGATGACCCACATTGTTAGGATCCTGCTAGCCAAATCTGCACGCTTTTGAGAGATGATTTAAGCAATTACAGCTGCAGAAGTGTTAGAAAAGGGGAGATTGTTAATAGCTTCGTTTTTAAAAGGCCTCTCCCCCTGCAAATAAAGCCCATAGGTAAGAACCTGCAGGTTTCCAGCATGGGTGTGGGTTGACAGTGCCCACGTGGAAGATAAACCTCCCGCTGTGTGTTGCTCCTGACTCAGTAAGTCCCGCTGGAATGGTGAGGAGCTGGGATGGGTTGGAAACGCCTCTTCTCTGTCTGCGTTCTATTCCATGAGCTGCACTGTTGGGTTAAAGGAAAACTCCAGTGGCATCGTCTCACTTCTGCTGATGACGTGAGCAGTTGGCTAAAATACGAAGCAAAACCTAATTGAAAGCTACCAAAGCCTCATGTTGGTCACCACTTGAACTGGGGCTGTGGTGCTGTCTGCGAAGGTGTGGAGGTGTGCGCCTCACGCAGACGAGTTCAGTGCCACACCAGGGGAAAACTCTGGGCTCCCTCTATGACTGGGCACTGCTGCGCTTTTCCTGCATCTGTTCAGTTATTGCAGGTGGATTGTGCCGTTGGTGCTGCAGTTTTCCTTTAAGGTGCTTTGGCACCAAGCAAAGCACCAGCCCACAGCAGTAGGTGCAGCGAGGTGTGGAGTAGCTGCAGAGTAGCCGCAGAGTAGCCACGCTGGGGCGCATGTTTGTCACGACATGCAGCCGTGGCAGCCCCTGCCCTGCTTTTCCCTCCCTCCTCCCGCTCCCACCAAAACCCCCCTGGCAAAGCCAAAACCAGCCCGTGGCAGGGAGATTCCCGAGTGCTCAATGCAAAGGCCAGCACGCTCCTTAACATCTTAATGGGAAAGCTCTGCATGTATACATTTAGTGCTCTCCGACAAGAGGGAATTAAATGTCAGAAGGATTTGTAGCATCTATAATTGAATTGGTGCTGAGAAAAGCAAATCTTCAGGAAGAATAACATATTAGGATTAGCAAATAATGTGGCATTTTGTCAGTTCCTGCCATCTCGTCTGCTCCCTCTTCAGTAATAAAGTTGTGATTTCTTTTTTAATCATAGATCTGAAGCGGGAATAGCTTTTGTGAATTGGAGACAGCGTTTCAAAGCAGATTCCAGGGTTTAAGGTCAGGTCTCTCTTTCTCAGTACAAATTTGGGGAATTACTCCTTGCCCCATCGACTTGAAACTTTTCTTAATTACCATAGAAATAACGAGTGAGAGAAAACTCCTGTGCTGGAAGGCAGAACGGGGTTGATGTTGGGTCACTGCATTTGGAGCATGTGGAGCTTGGTGAGGTGTTGAAGATGAGGCAGAGAGAAGACGTTGAAGGAGGAGTATGTAGTGAAGGGAATGGCTGGAGTAGCTTGTGCAGGGAAGTCATATATTGAGGAGTCGGAGTGAGAAAGCAGTGTTGGCAGTGCCGTGACATTGCTACCTTTGCCGTGGGCATCATGACCTCTGGCCTTTCCTGGTGCCTTGTTTGACTTTCCCAATTAAAATGAAGAAAAAATAGACGGGATGCCTAAAAATAACTCAAAAAAGTGAATTTTTCCTAAAAATGGCAAGTAGTTTATCTTTGGAGAGCCAGTCGATGGGAAAGCGACATGCGAGTCTGGGTTGCCATTGGCTCCCGCATGCAGCACTCCTGGGGCATCAGTGTCCTGCACGCTGGCAGCAGAGCCACCCACTGGCTCACCCGATGGATATACACATACATCACCCACTAAGTTAAGAGCCTGCTGCCACCTCCCCACAGACCTGGTGCTGGATGGCTGGCAGCCACCAGACATCCTCAGAAGGCATCTGATTTTGATGTAGTCTGTTAAGCTTGAAGATAAACTGTTTAGCCACGCGCATAATAAAATGAACTTGTGCTGGCACTTTGCAGAGGTCTCTTTTAACAGGAATAATGAAGAAAAATGGCCCTGCATGTCCCGGTAGACAAAATCACACTCAGTAAACTGCTCTGGCCAGACTGTTTCCCACAGTCGCTTCTCAGTGAAGGACAGGCAGCAGAGCCAGAACCGCAGCCAAATGACCTGGATTAGGTGATGGGGCAGCCGGTGCTTTTGGTTTGCAGGGCCGTTCTCTGGGGCAGAGTTTCAGCTTTCCAGGTAAGCTTGGAAAGGGGCTCCCTGCTCCTGCTGCCCATGCCAGAGCTGCTGCTCTTGGAAGTTACTCGAAGAAGCACTTGAAGGGGTTTTGTCTCAAATTGTTTTAATTAAAAGGCGCTTTATGGTGCTCTCTGTCACCAGTTATTCACTTAGGGCCCCTGCTCCTTAATCTTGGAGCAGAATTGGAAATATCGATAGAAAGCGTAAATCCCGGGCTGCTGCTCACAAGCTTTGTATCAGGTTTCGGCTCCAAAGAGCACCATTACCTTTAGCTGTCACGGATCTGTACGCTTGATCGATAAACTTCAAATATTATTAGAGGTGGAGGCTTCAGAGATTTGCTCTGCTCCTTGGAGGGAGACAGAGATAAATCTTTCTTAAAAATGGACTTGCATTTGCACTCTCAGTCTTCCTGGTAAAATGCATTTCTCTTAGGTGTCTGGGCAACTGCATGCAGGGCAGATTTATAGGCCATGTGCTTCTTGTAGTGAAAGATTTAAATGGTAAATCCTTCACATATGACTTCACAAATCATGTAAAGTTAAAAGATTTTTACCGTTTCTGTTGCTGCTGTGCTTAAGTTGTAAGGTATGGCCAGTAAATCATTTTAATGGAGGTGTCGCGCTTGACTCCATGGAAAAAAGAGACAATGGTTTAGCTTCTATTCCAAAATGTTAATGTATTAATCAGCGGGAGAATAATTGTGTTTTACTACGTTATAAATCTCGCTTGCCATTAGGATTGCAGTGAGGGTTGATGTAGCTGCGTTCTTAAATTAAAATTGTTTACACTGCCATACATTCATTTTACATGGCCATAGCTCATTCTGGGTTCATTTTGGAGCTGTTCCCCTGCCAAACAAGTCATTCCTCTCCCCGGTGACAGCGTCCTAAGGGAGAGGCGCTTCTGAAAGAAAACTAATTGTGTGGCAAGGGCTTAAATAAGCACAGTAAAGCGGTTGGAGGCCTCTACAATTATCAGTCACTATCTGCTTTCAAAGAGGTTTCTGTACTTTGGGTCAGGAGCTTCGTGTCTCTGGACATCGTGGGTGCCTTGAACGGCAAAGGCATCATCTTGTTGGGTTGGGGCCAGGATGGTTGTAAATGCTTTTACTGGGCTGGGTTGGCTGGGTTGTGGTCGAGGAATTCTTTGGGCTGAAGTGGAATGTTTTCAACAGGGCCCTTGTTACTGATGTTCCTCCAGAGCTCACGGCGAATGTTCCCATATTGGCCTGCTGCTCCCTGTGTCCCCATCGCCCAGGGAGGTGGGAATTTGGGGAGCACTCAAGGGAAATCTACCCCAATCCTTAGCCACCTCCGGCTCCATCTCTCCTCTCCCAGCTGCCTTCCACCTGCGTAGTTGTAGCGCTGCTGCTTCTAGCGGAAAACACCTTGCGAGGCGAGCCGCCACATGAGTTGGGCTCCGGACCGAGCTCCTCTGCCCCAACTCATCTGGGAGGCAGCTCCCTGCTTTACCCCTCTTCCTTCTGAGAGCACAAGGGTGGCTTTTCCAGTCCCGAGAGCAGCCGCAGCCAGACCCTTCAGAGCACATCGTAATAAGTCCCGAATTCTTATTCCTCTTCTGATCTCAACAGATTCTCGTGCAGGTGAGGAAGGGGCAATACGGAGCGTGGACCACGCGGTGGTCGGCGGCGTCGTGGCCGTGGTCGTGTTTGCAATGCTTTGCCTGCTCATCATTTTAGGGCGATATTTTGCCAGACATAAAGGTAAGACAAAGCTGGAAAATGAAAGGACGTGGCACGCGTGTCCCTTTGCTCGCAGCAGTGTCCTGTCTCATGCGAGGGACCCCGGTTGCTCTTGGAAGAGTCTCTCCTGAAAGCCCTTGGGAATGGGGAAAGGAGGAGGGCTGGAGCTGCCCACCCATGTTCTGCGTGCTGGGGCAGAAGGACAGCATGTTTCCCAATGCTGGCTTCATGCCGCAGCCTGGTATTGTCGTGATTGCAGAGGTCGAGTGCCCAGCTCCTGCTAAAATAAACAGGTGGCTCCTCTGGATGCCCAGGGCAGGACTGGAAGAGCCCCTGCCCTGATGCCTTCAGTCTTGGAGCATGGTCTCACTGCTGAAGAGCCTCTCAGTGGCTCCGTCCCTCACACTTTGCCTCCCCTGCTCTCCCACGGGGGGTTTGCTTTCCCCTGGCACTCGCAGCTTCATTGCTCATGTTCTTTCAGAGACCTGAAGGGAGTCACACAACCTCCCACTTCCCTTCCAGGTACATACTTCACTCACGAAGCCAAAGGAGCAGATGATGCGGCCGACGCAGACACAGCCATCATCAATGCAGAAGGAGGACAAAACAACTCCGAAGAGAAGAAAGAGTACTTCATCTAGAGCAGCCTTGGTTTGTTGAGGTGTCCAACCGTGGACGGTTACTACTGGCCCTATTTAAACGCTCAAGAGACAGTGATATTGGAAGTTGCAACCAGCTTGTGTCTTTTTTTTTTTAAAGAAAAAAAAGCCAATGGGTGGAGAGTCAGAGGCTGGGAGGGTCCGGGATTGGCTGTGTAAAAATATTCCTCGCAAAGTACACTCTGCTGTTCGACACCTCAGTTCGTTTGGGTTTTCTTTTTTTGGCCAAGTCCAGCTTGGATTTAGTTTAGTGAAGTCATTTGCAGAAGATTCTGTGCCTTGTTTAATTTCTGTTTGTTCGGGTCGGGGGGAGGCTGGGAAGAAGAGGGGCTTCTGTGCGTTAGTTCCCTTCGGGTTTCTGTGGCTCTTCGTTTCCCCTTTCCTCTTGGGTTCCGGGAGTTGCCTGCCGGGACCCCTTGGAGTAGGTGCGTTTCCTTGAAGGTGTTTCTTTTTCTCGTCACCGGTTTCCGTTCAGAACTCGAGCTCGTCGGAGGAGAACCAGCACATTTTAGACTTCGTAGTTTGCAGTTCAGTGTGCCCATGTCCCATCCCCTCTATCGTCCTAAAGGCTCGGATAAAGACCGGCGAGAACCCGCTCGTGGCTGCCCACGTTTCAGGTGCTTTCCATGGTGGTGACTAGGAAATCGGCTGGAGCTCGGCAAAGGCTCCCTTCGGCCCCGGGGTATCCTCCGGGGGGGATGCGGGACATCTGCTGTGGCCCTGTGCCTTGCGGATGCTCCATCCTGCTCTCGGGGCTGGGCCCCCCTGTCCCGCTTTGCCGGCACAGCCCAGTCCTTGTCGTCCTCCCCCCATTGCAGCCGCAGGGCATGGTGAGTGCAGTGGCCTCGTGTCCTGCCCGCGGGGCACAATGGGAGCTGACTGACTTACAAAGCCATAGGTGAAACGGAGACTCGAGGTCCGGTAGAACCGTAAGCGAGAGGCAGCAGAGCGCCAGGACAAGGCGGTGTTAAAGTCTATATGCTGAATCTTTTGTTTCTTGTGAGTAATCTTGGATTTGGAGCGATTCTTTCTTTTTTTACTGTGTTTCTGTGGAAAATGTATGCTGGTTTATTTAAGGGAAGCATTAATCTTAGCGTCAGGTTTGGGTTTTGTAGGGGGTTCGGGGGAGCGTTTTCGTGCGTTTGGGTTTTTTTTTAGCTGTTGTTCTTGGCAGCCCCGTGACAACACGGGATTCCTTCGGGCTTGGGACGGCCCGATGGCAGAGAGCGGGCCCGTGCTCCGGCAGCGTTCCGCCTTTCCCCTCCGCGCGAGAAGGACCTCGCGGGAATACCCCTTGTTCCGAGCAGATTTTGCCGAGCTCCTCTCCGAGCCTCCCGCGCCGTGGCTGGGAGCAGGCAGCAGCGGGGGCTCGGGGGCTCTCCCGCTGCCGGGACGGGCACCCTGGCTTTGAGCAGCCCATCTTTGTTTGGAGTGTACCGTAGTGCAGTGTTACCGATGTAACTTTGACTTACGCTGTTGACATGTCTCAGGTTCATGTGTTTTGATTGGTGTTTTCCGTCTCAGGTAGATTGCAAAATTTCGGCCCCACGCATTGGAAACAAACCCTAGAAACAGGATAAGAACCAGGAAATTGCGACTTTGAGTTGTATATTGGGTTATGTATTTTTTCTTCAGTATACAGTGCACTGTTTGAAATGTATTGTTGAGTATTACTTTGTACAGCTTTAGATCATTAGGATTTTGAAGCGTGAAGAAAGAACAACCTTGTTTAAGGGATATTACAAATGAAGGACGCGGAACTGATGATAAACAACCTTGTTCTTTATTTACCCGGCCTTTTTGGTTTTTCCCCTTAGGCCAGTTCTGTTTTAAGGTGTCCATGGAAGGTGTTACAATGTAAGAAAATACATATCCATCTGTTCCCATTCACATTTTGTATTGGTTCATGTATACCATTTTTACAAAGGAAAAGAAGTACTATAAAATATCTGTCTTCTTAATAAAAAAAGATTAATGTTACAAAACTACATCTCTCTTTGCTCTCTGTATCCCTGCTGTCCGGAGACGCGGCCGTAGCCATCCTCTAACGCTGTTTATCCTGCATTGGTGTTTACTTAAGGAGCAAATCGACCTGCAGCTGGTATTCCAATCTTCCCGAGGTGCTCCAGGGGCAGCGCGGTATGGGAGCTTTAATAGCACAGCAATATTCACATCCTGTAATGGCAGGTGAGCATTGAGGTACGTGACCTCCCTCACCCCATTCCCATCTCCTGTTCGGTCCCAGTTGTTGCCAGATCTCACACCTCCCTTTACAACACTTGGGATTTCCAAATGATGATCCATGGTGTCTGCTTGCCCCGAGACACCAACTCCAATGAAGAGAACTGGTACCAAGGATGCGCTTTGCTTCTGCTCATCGTCCCTCCTGTGACATCTCCCTCCGCCTCAGCTCCTCAAATCAGATTACAAGGCAGCTGCAGCACTGGAATTGGAAGCATCAATCTTTGATGTTTTGGACAAAGGGGGAGGAGAAGAAGCAGTTGTTTTCCACTGAGGAGATGCTGCCAAGAGGTGCGCTGCCATCATCCCTGTGTGTAAACAGGCTATAGTGTACGGTGAGGAACCCTTCGTATCTGAGCTCATGTGCCAAAGGCAGCGGTGGTGGCTGCTCCTTGAAGAGCAGTGATTTCTTGAGCACTTCAGATATATATGTATATATAAAAAATATAGGTCATATATATAAAGATATGAAAATAACATTTTTCTGAGAGAAACTATGACACCAAGGAAAAAACTAGGAGCACACGAGGAAAACCAGCCATTCCTTTTGTAACATGAGATGAACACAGTTAACTGTGGTGGTCAAAGTGGCCATGGTTTAATTGTTTCATTGCACAAGGGATGTTAAACTCGCAGGTCCCTGATGCTATTTTCCTCTTCGAGCCAGAGCAAATTGTGCCACACACTTGTGATGTCGATGGCATTAGATATGCAGCTGAATTCCTTTCCCACCAGGTCCATGTTCCCCTTTCCCTGAATCCTTTATGGTTACAGTAGTGCAGATAGTGGCATGACCATGTGGCACAGCTTAAGTGGAATTATTTCCTAGATCATTGTTTAGCCACACTCAATAATGGCATCTGATGTGTTCTGCCTGGAAATAAGGGCAGTGGGGGACCGGGGTGGCATCGTGTGCCCCATGTGGTCCCTCATCGGTGGCAGATGTGCAGGTCCTGCGTTGTGAGGAAAGGCTGGTCCCCAGCACTTGTCACTGCTGAGCGTGGAGCATCTCGAGGCTGCGGTAGGTACAACTGGCAAGTGTCTCTTAGCACATAGAGATGCCACAGCCCGCATTATCCTGCATGCACTTTGCCACGTGCTGCTTCAAGTGTCCCGCTCTGGATGTCACAGTGGGGTGAGGTTCTTTGTAATTCGTGATTCAACATGTGCTGCTGGAGCCAGCACCCGTCCCCGAGGGCTTTGAGCCATGATTAATGCTGTGTCTGAAATGTCTGCCTCTGCGCACAGACCTGCTGCTGCTGCCGGGCTGCAGCGGTTCTCAATAATTCACCGTGCTCAGAGGCAATGTGCAGGGTGCTGTGGTGAAGCTGGGGCTGTGGTGGGAGCTGGGAGAGGACGGGCAGCCCTGGGTTATGGCTGCTTCTCGTTTCCAGAGTTAAACCAATACAAGCGTGGTTGATCGCCGACAGCCTGCTGAGGATGCGGTTGTGAGCATCGCTCCGTGCAGGTGCTGCCAGCCCCAGCCTTGCTGTGGACAGATCAGAGGCTCGTGATGTATTCACAGCCACGTGTGGCTCGTGCCCTGTCCCAGCATCGTGCTCAGTGGGTTTGCCAGGGCCTCTGTGTGCGGCTGCTTTGCTCAGGGGCTGTTTACCTTCTGCGAGAGCTGAGCGGGGTCTGTGCCAGGGCTTTGGATCCCCGTCCTCGAATGGCTCAACCATTCGTGTCCCCAGTCATCTCTACTAAACTGCTGTTGCCTTTAATCTTGGCAATTTCATGCTGCAGTATCCATCTGTTTGGGAAAGAAACCCAAAAGGGAGTGCTGCTTGCAAAGATCACAGGCTTACTTAGCCACGGCTTCAAAAGGTTCTCATTTCTACCTCATTATGTCCCTGGGAATGAGGAGGTCTGTGTGGGCAACCAGAGCTTAACCCTTCCTCTCGGGCAGCTTGGACTTGTGCCAGCATCCCAAATCTGACTGTAAGGTTATGCTGCGAGCCATTGCTTTAGCCATTTGTCTGGCAGTTTAGCACCACACAGAGAACTACATCTGCTCAGAAACCTCCTTGAGTTCATCTGTGAGGGCTTCAGAAGCTGCAGTGGTTTACCTGTGCCCTGGGTTCCGTGCTCAGTGTCCCTCCTTCCACCCTTCGCTGTGTCAGGGCTTTGCTTCTGGGCGTCCCAGTGGGTCTCAGCTTCTGTGGAGCTTCCTAGAGCCTCAGTGGTTCTCTGAAAGAACAAAGTCTGTGCTTTATCCTATCCATGGTCCACATCCTTCAGGCTTTTAGAGGTCATCTAGTACCACTTTTCTGCTCCTTTCCTACATGTACCTGAACACTTTGGGTCTTTGCCTTTGTGGCCCTGCTCAGGCAACACAAATAGGCAAAAAGAATCTGCAAGTGTAACATTCAGAATCAGCTTCTCAATGAAACACTTTGCGTTAACAGACATCAAGACACACAAACATTGTGGGGGAAAGCTGAAAAGAGGCACAGTAAGAAACTAGACTTAGTGAATTGAGTATCCCTGGTGACCAGCTGCAGAAACATGCTCCCTTCCAAAGCGAGACTACAGCTGCTGAGCCTTTCTCATTAAGAGGACCTGAGGATGCTTCTGGGTTGTTACGAAATCAAACAGAAGAGTCCCAGCTTCGAGCGCTCTGCCACGTAAAGTAATTAGTGATAAATGACACTTTAACTTAGAGCAGATAAAATGAACCCGAATTCCGGGCTCAGGATTGAAACACACTTGCTGTAGAACAGAGGAGCAGCGTGCTGGGGCCGGCAGCATCGATCCGTGCTGGCCAGGCAGCTCCCGTCACCGCCTGACAACGGGCTAATAGCTTTTCCTGAAGATCCAATCCCATTTTCTCGGCAGCAGCTGCAGGCGGCATCGATCGGGCGGGACGTGCCCCCAGTGCTGGGTCCTGGCGATGGGACCAGGAAAGTGGCGACGCCGGCAGCCAGCCCCGGTGCTGCAGCAGCCCCGCGCTGTAAGGGCCAGAGCTGCTGCTCCTCCGTGCGTGCACAGCATCGCAGGTAAGTGCGCAGTAACTCCGGGGTGAGCAGCGTGCTGGGAATACAGTGTGGGTACTGGCTGGATGTGAGTTGGAACCAGCTCAGATGGAGCCCCATGAGCCAGGGCAGAGCTACTCAGTCCTTTGTCCTGAGCAAGGTCCCAGTGGGTCCAAATTAACAGGCATTTGCATCCCCTTGCACACATCACCCTCTTCTGAGTTCTGCATTATCTGGGTGGAACTGCAGAACCTCCTTGGGCAGCTTTAATTCAACAAACAAACTGTAATTGGACAAAACAACTTCAGTTAAATAAACCAACTTTAGTTAAATAACCAAACTTCAGATAAATGGCCACGCTGTAGGTAAATAAACCAACTTTAGTTACACAAACACACTTCAGTTC